CCAAAATCAGCATTGCTTTTTGTTTTCAACCTACCAGGAGGCTTTCTATGTCCCTTGACTGACTTTCTTTTCTTGTACTCAACTCCTGTCCCATCCATAAATGAGACAGAGAATCAGAATATTTCTACTAGAATAGCATAAATGATGTAGAAGGAGAAATTAATGACTAAGGATTTTCAAACAAAATAAAGCAGTGAAAGCAACTCTCAGGAACAGGTGATAAATTTGTACTGCTGCACTCACCATGATTAGCAGCTCCATTCTGCCTTTCACTGTCTTCCACCTGGCACTTCTTTTTGGCAATCTTATGCAGAATTGAGGCCCTTTCCTTGAACTTTCCTAAAAGAAAGCATTATTATTATTAAAATGCAGCCATTTGGAGAAGCAAAGTTTTTTTGCCATAGCGTAGACTCCAAAGATCAGTGCTGACAATCCATTTCAGTTCCTCCTCAAACAGCAAATATGCTATTAAACACTATCTCATGTTCCCATCTATAGGGTTTTTTTCTTTTTAGTGGAAATAAAAATTTAGTCTTTCTTTTCTTAGAATTCAGTAACAAATAGAACAAGAAATTGGAAACAAAAGCTATGATTTTTCTTTGGAAGAAGTGAGTAAAGTTCCACCTATAAACATGCTGGTGTAAGAATTCAGCCCAAATAGAAGATGAATACAGATGAATAAAGATATAAACAAACACAAAGTTTCACTTCTCAGTTAGTAGGATAGTAACACAAAATTTCAGATTAACCCATATATTGCATCATAGTGACTGTGATCAAATTTGTCACTTTGTACTCCTCTATGTGATTTCTACAGGTACTTCAGAAGGGGAAGAACAAACCTTCACAATACACGATTTTCATATCAGATTCTCAAAAGTAAACTTTCTTCTAAACCTGCCAGGGGTTTTTTTTGTCTTCCATGAGGTTAACCATGCAGCTCATCCTCTACACTGTCTCCAGGACAACACGTCCTATCATAACAGAGGTCCCAGCTTCTGTAACTATTGACCACTGAGTCCAAATGACATGTTCAAACTTAGCAATGTCAAAGATGTCAAATATTAAGTGAAATGAATCCTTTCTCTGCATTGGTTGATCTTTCTGTGTAAGGACTCTTTGGACATCTTTATGACAGCCTATATTTTGTATAAAGATGATGTATCTGCCTTCATTTATTGTTATCCCCATTGCTATTGTACTTTTAGTATTTTAAAATATTTTTTGAAATTTTGACTGGTGGCTATCATACAGTATGCTTCTAATTAAGAACACTATTACAACACAGGGTCTGTGGCTCTTTTAATTCTTCATCTCCATGTACAAAAATGCCCTGAAAACTGTTGGTGTCCCTGCAGCAAAACCAGCACAGACTGAAGACCAAAAGATATTTCAGTAGAATCATATAATATACTAACACTGGAAAGGAGAAGTAAGAAGTCATGAATGAATTCAGTTATGCGGATAACAGTCACTAGTTTCCAAGATAATGAAAGATACACAAGAATAAATCATTAGTCATGAAAGAAATCCCTTCCCACAAATGGAAGTTTCAAACCCCTATACCCATACTTGCATATGTGAAGAAGCATATACCCAGGGACTAGCAGCCAGGAATTATTCACTGGGAAGCGGAATTAATTTCTCAACAGCAAACCACTTGGAAAGTAATAAAAATACCACAAATATTTAACAAGCAGTACTTCCTTTCTGCAGTCCTTATCTTTTCACAAACACATCGTGCTCCAAAAACAAAAAAAAATTAGCCATTCACAATATTTTGCAAATATTAATCTTCTTTGGCACCTAGAGTAAAACACTTGCAGAAGAATATCTAAGCACAGAACACAATCATAAATAGCAAGGCATCTCGTTATTTCAGCACACCGGGTCAGAGGCAGATGTTTTAGTTAGAAGGGGAAGAAGAAACAAAGGGTTAAAGAGAGAAAAAGAGAAGGAAGGAAAGGAGAGAGGGAAGGAAGGGAGGGAGGGAAGGAAGGAAGGAAGGAAAGAAGGAAGGAAGGAAGAAAGGAAAGAAGCAAAGAAAGAGAAAGAAAGGAAGGAAGAAAGAAAAAGAAAAGGAAGAAAGAAAGGGAATTGTTTGGGATATCAGATAAAAGAAAGAAAAACCAGAAAAAATGCAAATCATTATTTCCAAATATTTGAAGCCAAAATGCTAAGAGTCACGGCTGCTCCTAACTTCTTTTGAAATACTGGGGGCATTTAAAAAGTACTTATCCATAAGAATGTGTGTAAATACTAACAGGTGCCTGTTGTAATGTCAGTTTGCTAAAGGATTGTGCTTTCAGACTCCAACTCAGCTTCATATGTTTGAGAATTCGGCTTGTGATGCCCCAAATACACAAATGCATTTTTTGCAAACAATGAAGATGACGCAACTGAGACATTTTCTAAGAAATGTCTGTGGAGCCATCCATGTCATCCAATGTCTGTGGAGCTATCCAACTACTCCAAGATGCTGTAGAACCTTTCAATTAAAGGTTGAATTTTAAAAGTTAATTAATATGATGCAGAATTCTATAAGGATATTCCAGTATTTTGTTTGAGGTTGTCTGAAAATGTTTAGGTTAGCCATTATTGAACTGAAAAGAAAATGCCTCCACAGAGATTCACACTGGTTTAGATTAGCTTAATTGAATATGTCCTCCATTTTTTTTACATTTACAAGAACCTCTCACCATCTTTAGGAAGAATTTCTTACATTGACTTTTAGCAATTGTAAGTTACACCACTTCATTCAAGACACTGTTGCACTGTTGTAAGTCACTGTCATGGAAATTAACATCAACATTTGAAATGGAAAATGTATTTTGGTTTATTTTTATTTCCCAGTACATGCATCGTTCAGTTTACATTGCTTTACATCATTACCTTCTATTTGGTTCACTCAGTGTAGGTTACAAAAGTGAGAGGAAATGATTTAAAGACATTATCGACCATCAAAAACATTAAACTGAGGAAAGCAATAGTACTAGCCTGCATGAAGACAGTGAGAGATAAAAAGACAGCAGAATTATGCTTTCTCCCTCCCTTTTTTGGCCATTTTCCTCCTTTAAACCAAATCAAAACTTGTTGACTGAAGGGGAAGCACAGAGCCACCAGGAGAAATGACCAGTTGAGGATATTTCTAAGTAATTCAAATTTTCAGAAAGCCACTAAGGTAAATCTTAGGCACAGATCTTCTCTCATGTCTTTTTCCTTATCTTTACCTGGGGTAACTAAAATAATCCACAGGAACTTTGTAGTTTACAATTCTAGAATAATTTATTTTCAGTCTTCTTTAATAATCCTATGTACTATGGGTTTGACTACCTAATTCTCATAGTAGCTGTTACTGTGAGAGTTTAGGTGCATGAAAATGCTGGATCCCATGGACCTAAAGTAGAATAGATTGCTATAGAAAATTCTTAGTTAATCTAGGTTTGCTGGACTCCAACAGATTTTGCAGCTCATTTTGGTTTGCAAAGAATGGAGTGGAAGGAAGAGGATATCAAGGCCAGGTGATAAGCAAAGAAAGTAAATTAAAACTAAATTAATTTTATTTGAATATATACAAACAAATCAATATTGTGTAATGTAGATATGCCTTGATTTGCATGAGTAACTCCAGCTGGCATCAGTTGGCAGAGATTCTCCTTCTGATAAAGGATATATTAAAAAGCCAGTCCTTTAACTACAGCCTAAATTGCAGACTGCAAATTCCCTGGGTTAGAAAAGTCTTTGATTTGATGAGAAAATAGTCTTCAGAAATTTACTCTTGGCCATTAGGCTGTTATCTAATTGCATGTTGCAGCCTAATCATTAATTTTTGTCCCTGATTGTTGTGATATAGCAGCAAGAATAAATGAGCCTGTGTTTCTCTACTGGAGGACAGAAAGATTACTCTCTATCTCCACTCAGGGCTTGAAGACCTGGACTTCAGGATGTACTTTATTAGAAAAAAAAACAACAGTGGGTTTGTAACTGGATTTATGTGTTCCTGTGACTAAGTTGCTGCACAAAATATGTAAAAACCTCAGTCTAAAAAGGAAGAGAAAGAAGAAAAGGGGTAATGCAAATAAGTGTGATGCAGAGTAATAGCGATTATACTTCTGAAAATCAAAACACAAAGTACAAAATGTAGCACACTTTGATCGAAATACGACTTCTAGGATACACTATTCACTACTTGCTCTATAAAAGACAAGTGAAAATTATGAAAATAGTTGCTCTTGAGAAGGTAAACGATCACAGACTCTCGTGTTAGTATTTCTAAAGACAAAGAGCTTCCTTTTTGTTTTTGCTTCCTGATTTTTGCTTTTGCTACAGTATGGTCCTGAATTATTTATTCATGAGAAGTGCTTTCTGAGATGATATTGAATATTAACAGCATTACTTCTGCATAGGTACAGTAATAATAGATATATATGTATGTATCATAATTTGGTAGGTGTTTCCTCACAAATAAATACATGTAATTGTCAATAGATATTTATGAATTTCAGAAGACTACTTTTGAAATAGTAGATTTAATACTTCACCATAAAAATCAGAAATCTTAAAATATCCAGGTTTAAGGCTACAAAGAGATATTACCTTTGCATCTTGATTGTAAGGAAGACTGAGATGAAACATACTGCAAAAGCTTTAGCTCTGGTAGCGGTATCTGAGTGGCCCAGGATAATGGCTCATTTCAGGTTCTCCAGAGGTATATTCAAACAACATAGACATCACTGTTTGCGTGGTTAAATCTTCTCTCAGATATCTTTTCTTATACTGGTACCACCCCTATGTACTAGACACTTAATCTGGAAAATGGAGGGCAGCAAGGCAAGACTGCTCTATGAGCTCAGGCCTGCCTCAGGAGAAAACAGCATCTTCCAACAACAGGCACAAAGGTAAAAGGAATTGTCTTCCACAGACAGCCCCAGAATAGTATGGTTATATTGGTGTATCAACAACAGATACAGAAGATGGGAAATAGAAGTTATTACTTCCCACCCTTCTGACTCCAACCCAAGAAATGATTAAGTCATGTAATGAAGGTTCTCTTAAAATCTTCAAGATTAATCTATTAACAGTGTATTCAAAAACAGAGAATTAAACTATTTGCCTCAAATTCCCAATATTAAAAATAAATAGGAATAGGTGGCTAAACTTCTCTACAGGGCTAAAACTTATCCCCATCTGCAAACATGCTGCTAATTACTATAAACTTAGCATAATGAAAACATGTGTCTGGCATTATAATCAGAGAGCTGGACAAGAGGCCTTGATCCTACAGACAATCAGGTCTCAGTTCAGGGATAATTCCAAACTATAGTAATGCTGACTGCACTAGGACTAAAAGCATGTGTTGGAAATTTAGTGCACATTTAACTGCTTTCCTGAATTAGTATAACAAAACTGCAGTGCTTTTGAGTCAGCAGAAAAATTTCCCAAGACTTCATTGAGCCCTAATTTAGGCCCTAATTACTTCCTTCTTGTATTGCTAGAATCAGGATTTAAAACCACATATTTTTTGCATTGCAATTAAGCATACTCCAGGAATAAGCATGCTTAGTTTTTAAAGTTTGTTCATTACTTTTGAATAATACAGTAAACTGAAGTCACTTAGCAATTGTTCTCCAAGTGATTTAAACACCCATAAATTAATTTATCTTCTTGAATGCATTGTAAACCATGGCATCAAATAAGCATCTACAATCTATATTATTCAGTACCACATAATTTGAGAGTATGGTTCTGCATGTATGTTCTTTACTAAAAGCATTCCATTGTATTTCCTTATCTGAAATAGCAGAACTGAAAAATTGAAAATAAAAACCTTAAAAAAGAGTCATAATGGATTGTGTCGTCAATGAAGACATGCAAAAAGGAGTTATTCAAAAATGGAGAAACTTAAAATAGGACTAAGAAAAACAAAGGAAAAACTAAATACATAACAGAAGCTCAAGGGGCTTCAAAAAAAGCTGATACAAACAATTCTAAAATATTTCTTACCTTCTTCAGTCATTGTGTCATAATATTTTAGGTTTCCATATGATCCAAGCTCTACAATATCACAGTAAAAGACACAAAGATAAGGAACAGCAGACATTCAAGAAATGTACATGTTTTTGCATGTGCTTCATAAACTCGGAGTGATTATGCAAAACATTCTGCAGGACAACAAAACACAGGTTACAAAAATAGCAGTGCCTTTCCTCCCAGAAATTTCACAAGTCACTGACTTTAGGTAAATGTTAAACTTGTTAGTGAGATGTAGGAGAACCACTTACATCTAAAACGCAGCCTTTTCACAGTTATTGCTGATTTGGTGCCTCTGCATTTGGGAAAACATAATAAACCTTGATAATATCTAATCATCAGTAATTTTGCAAACTAAGCTCTTTTGTCATTCCCCAAGTCAGACATTCAACTACTTCTAATAAAAATTAAAAAAACAGTCTCAAAGCACATAACTTAAGAAACTGTTCATAATGTTGTCCCACAAACATTGTTTTGTTACCAATGCTAATGCTGGCTTGCTTTAGAGGGGTTACTTACTTTAACCACTCTCTTATCACTTGTGTAATCAAAAAAAAAGTACTTACTTCATCAGGTGATATCAGACCTACATTTATTATATCATTAAATTGATCTGTATATATTGCATTACTATATTCTAGCAGGGCAGAGAAAAGAATGGAATGCAGAGATCTCCAGATCTTTATGGCTACTATTATTTTTTTGTGTGTGATATAATCTTGCATGAAATCACCTTTTTACTGCAGATGTTGTTTTACTTTTCTTTTCTTTAAGTGCTTTTTTCTTATAATTTACCATATATGTGAATATATGTATAACAACAATAAATAACGTAAGTCTACGAAACAGGCCAATGAAAAATTAAGCCCAAGGAGGAATTTGTAAATGATCTGGCTGAGGAATTTGTGGATGATTTCACTCATCGTTTTTACCTAAAATTTTACAACTGAGCATCTGAACATCTAACCTTTGACAGAATATAACCACTAAAAAATGTATGCCTAACGGTTTGGTAGTGCTCTTTCCTTTGGAAATATTCTCTCTTCATATTTATGAAACAGCTTAAGCAATTAAACATAAAGATGATATCCAATTATTCTGATTTTAGCTGATGCACCTCATGATCTTTCAACAATTTTTCACAGAGGTGGATTTCAGTAGAGGCCTGGCTATTAGTTTTTTACTGAAAAATACTGTGATCATATGCAAACCTTTTGAACACGGCAAATTAACATTTGCCTGGAACACGGCAAATTAACATTTCTTAAATCATTTGCAGAGACAGAGAACACCATACGCCATGTAACTAAAAAATATAGGATATTCTAATTGCTGATTTTTTAATGAATATGATTGGATTGTAATGATTTTTCCTAGTTTGTCAAAAGCAGTTACAATTATTCACATACTCTTGCTGTACAATGCAGTGTATGTGCGTAAGTGTGTCCCATAGAATAGAGACATTAAGTCTCTCTTAAAGCAAAGAAAGATGTAATTTAAAGACAGAATCTGATATATTGTTTTATAGTAATATTGATTGCATATACTGCATATACTGTTTTGTAAAAATGTTCTTAGTGTTGCAACATAACCTTTGTAGGTGCTAGTACATACAAGATGCTGTTGTTCTACCATCTTGATCTTAGTCCTAAAGATTTAAATTCCTTACCCGGAAAGAGCCCCCGATAACTTCAATACTGACTACCCTGCATACAGCATTTGGAACCACTTGTCCTGTTTAATTAGCCAGTACCTTTGCTTATACTTGTTCTCACTTATCTCTGCCTTGACGTGCCTGGGGTTCACTTTGCTAGAACCTGGGCTGAGGCTTCCACTGGAGATTGAGCACAGGACTGGAAAAGAGATGCTAAAAGGAGTCTAAAAAAGGAAACGGAGGTACATGGGGAAGACAACACTGAGAGGAGCTGCATAAACAGAGAAGAAGGTTGCAGCATAGGAACAAAATTCCAAATTAACAGAACAGCAGACATGAGGCTTCTGACCTAATGGATGAAGCAAAAGAGGTTTCAGAGAAAACCAACAAAAGTGGTGGATTCCAAATGTAAAAAAACCAAACCAAACCAAACAAAACAAACCACCACATATTGGCTCTCATGTTTAGATTATTTGCTTACATCTGAAGTGAGATGAAAGACAAACAGGAAAGAAAAAAAAGGTGAATCTGACCTTATAGAGACCAAAAAAAGAAGAGAAACAAGGTGACAAATGATAGTGCATGTTGCTGATGATAATCATGTTCTGGGCACTTCAGCAATTCAACACACCAAGGATTAAACTAGGTTAATTCCTGCAGTTAGCAAAATTATTTCCTGGAAAACTCTAATCCTGCTGGTGAGATTACATTATCCAAAGGTTATGGTCCTATACTCAAGAGTGGAACATTTTATACAATCATCAGCCCACTGACTGCAATGCACAACAATGACCCCAGAAAATATCAGCTGTACATATTCACGTGAATTACTTTTGTGGGTTTCAAGATTACTTGGGCCAGTGCTGCTCAGCAGCATGAGAGATCTGCCTCTCTATAGTCTGCCTCCAATATATTGCACTGGCTTCTGTTGTAAGATTTGGACTAAATCTGCTCTTTGGTGTTTGGTTTAGAGTTTTGCTGTTATAATAAGACATATTCTGTTCAATATGAATTTAAGTAAACTCAAAATGGATTATTTTTTTAAAAAATACTGTCTTGGAAAAATTTAACAGCTTTTAAAATAAACTTATTTTAAATGGAATTGAAAATCTAAAATATTGTGATAAAGGGTACTTGAAAAAATATCCCCAAATTCAACAAGAATTCCATTTCTGTGAATGTGCTATGCAACTCCCATGGTGAGGTCATAGCAGACAGACTGGATGACAGCCAGTATCTGCATCCCTACTGGTTCCATCAAACAAAGAGGATGCAGAGAGGCAGCTTAACAGCTGATCCTCAATAGTTAGAGAGTCATTTAATAATTTGTTCCCTTCTGCATATTTTTACACCATAAGAGAACAGAAGGTTCCTGGTAATCCTGTCGAACATTCCTGAAGGATTACAACGTTTGACTTATTACCTACTGTTCTTTGCTGTGTTTGTAGGTGTCACACCACATCAAAACAAACAGAAAGAATAATGTTGCTAGTCAATGGGGCTACATTATTTGTGATTTCAAATTACATTCAAGACAGCCAGCACAGCTTCAACAAGAGAAAGTCCTGCCTGATCAATCCAGTGGCCTCCTACAGTGGAGTGACTACAACAGTGGACAAGGGAAGGGCTACAGATGTCATTTATCTGGACTTCTGCAAGGTCCCTTCAAGCTCCTCTCTAAATTGGAGAGAGATGAATTTGAAGGGTGAATAAGGAACTGGTTGGATAGTCACATCCAGAGGGTAGCGGTCAACTGCTCAGAGTCCTGATGGACATCATGACAAGTGGTGACCCTCAGGGGTCTGTTTTGGGATCAGTGTTATTTAATTATTTAATATCTTCATTAATGACATAGATGAATGGATCAAGTGCACCCTGAGCAAGTTTTGTAAATGACACCAAGCTAAGTGGTGTTGTTGACACACCTGAAGGACAGGATGCCATCCAGAGGGACCTGAAGCTCAAGAAGTGGGCCTATCGGAATCTCATGAGGTTTAATAGGAAAAAGTGCAAGGTGCTGCACCTGCGTTGGGGCAGCCACCAACATCAATACAGGCTGAGGGATGAGCAGATTGAGAACAGCCCTGCTGAGGAGGACTTGAGGGTGCTGGTGAATGAGAAGCTGGACACGACCCAGCAATGTGCACTTGCAGTCCAGAAAGTCACTTGTATTCCGGACTGCATTAAAAGCAGAGTGGCCAGAAGGTCAAAGCAGGTGATTCTACTCCTGCTGTGGTGAGACCCCACCTGGAGTACTGCACCAGCTCTGGTGTCCCCCGAGAAGAGCATGGATCTATTGGACAAGTCCAGAGGAGGGCCACAAAAATGATCAGAGGCCTGGAACACCTCTCCTACGAAGACAGGCTTAGAACATTGGGTTTGTTCAACCTGTAGAAGAAAAGACTCTGAAGAGACTGCAGAGTGGCCTGTCAATACCTAGAGGGGAACTATATAAAAGATGGCGACAAACTTTTTAGCAGGACTTGTTGTGGTAGGAAGAGGGTAGATTCAGACAAGATACAAAAAAGACATTTTTTGTATGGAGAATGGGGAAACACTGGCACAGTTTGCCCAGAGAGAGAGGTGGTTGAAGCTCATTGCCAGGCGGTTGGATTAGATAACCTTTAAAAGTCTCTTCCAACCCATGCTATTCCACAGTTTTATTAAATAATATGGCTATTTACTCAGTTTATTTTCAGTGTTTACTCACTAAGTAATGTACATACAGTCTGTGATGAAATACTCATTTCTATCTTTTAAGTGTATAGCCCCAGCCTGCCACAGAAGGAAAGCAGAGCCAATATTTCTCTTTGCTCTCCTGCAACTGAGATCTCTGTATGATAC